CCCCCCCCCCCCCCCCAAAGATATAAGCCCTTCTATTTGCTAACAAAGATATTATTCTGGATGTAAGCCTCCCCGGATATAAGCCCATCTAATGAATAAGTGCGTTCCTTATGCGTTTCTTCACAAAAAACACAATTTTTAAGCGAATGTTATAAGCTAATAGGGTAATAATAGGGTTATAGCTCTAAATGTAATGGTGCTTTAATTCGTTTCTCAGATACTTTTTATCTCATTCTTCCAAAATTTTTCTTTGTTATTCCGCTTACATGCCCCNAAGTTATAAGAGCCCAGGGCTTTATTGTGGGATTTTACAGTATTTCCATGTTCCATCCACACACCCCTGGTTCACCTGGGAAGTCATGCCATACTGTTATTGCTGTTTGCTTGCGGTTGGCATTTATGTGGCAATGGGCAAGGCAACTATGTGTGTCCCACCATGAAGTTCCTACCTACCACTAGCCCCTTAGAAATAAACCAAGTTTTTCCTTCCATTTTTCTTCTAACTCCTGGTCTGGACTATTTCAAAGCTGGAAAGATGGCGGGAAAGGGAGAAGGCTGGATATGAAACAAACTGGGGAAGGTGTGGACATGAAATGTAGTCGCCTGTGCAGACTGACTTGTCGTTAAAACTGATTTCCAGTCAGTACTGTGCAGTCTCCACACCCTGATGTTTAATTAACCATTATAAGTGTCACTCGATGGAATGCGAATCATTGTTATTTGTTACAAACCATATACTTTATCTTTGAGGCCTTTCAAATTCTTTTTCCAACAGCTTCATTGATTTTTGGTATACAGCTGGGAAGTTGTTTCATCGAGTGATAAGAGAAATAATAAAGCAAAAGCTTCAACCGCTTCAAATCCACAATGGCGGTTCTGTTCTGAAACTTTGAATTTACTTCATGTAAGTACTCACGAAATGTTTACATTTTGTGATGTCATACATGAAAAAAAACAAAAAACGCAAACAAACTCTTGAGAGTGCACAGCACAGACTGGAAATCATCTTTAATACGTGTACCATGTTCATGTAACAAATGGTACAAATGTAACCATGTTTATGTAAAGCATTAAGTCTACATTAAGCCCAATTTATTGTTACATACTGCTCAGGAGCTTATTCCTCCCAAAATAAAGGAAAAATAGCATTTGTTGCATATACATGTGTAAGTGATGTTCTGGGGGCATGTTAATGTTTCAGATCCTTTCATGGCTACAAACACTAAACACTGAACTGACTAACCTTCATGAAGGGCTTATTAATGTCACCTGTAGCCTGGTTCTCCACACCTGTAGCAAACTTGTTACTTTGTGCTTGAATTATATTAACAACATGCAATTTCACCTGTAGCATCAAGAGAAAATCAAGCATACTCAGCTGTAACAGGTGCTACGGGTTACGTGCCTTAATGACAGCCCTGAATAAACTTAGCCTGAATATTGCAAAAACCAAAATAATGTTAAACACAGTGTAGGCTCACGTCAGAGACTTGCTAGTACTATTGGCCATTCACTTGCTGTACAAATTGAAGGTCACGAAATTAATAGAGTGCTCCACACCAAATCCTTAGTCTACAAATCAGTCACCAAATCCTGAGTCTACATCGATCAAAATCTGTCGTGGTCCAAACATGTTAATGATACTGCCAAGGTTATCTTCTCTGGTATAGGAGCACTTCAAAGGTTGAGGCCATTCATGTGCGAAGATACAGCTATATTGCTATATAGAGCTATTATCGAACCATATCTCGATTATCGCTGTCCTGTGTGGGACGGTCTCAACAATGAGTTAGCTGACAAATTACAAAAACTACAAAATCGCACCATTAGGGTTAATTCACCTTGCTTTTTTATACAGACCTCTCTGCTTTTCTCATGTAAGTGCCAACTAGTTAGTATAAGAACAACTTGATTTACACAATAAAAGCAGTGAGGTCTTTATCAAAACAAGGCCACCTCCAGCCTCACTGCCATTCAAAGGCCAGGTCACTAAACACACAACTGTAAAATGGTCTATTGGCCCATGGACATTATTGGAGAATAATGCACTAGTATTAGGCAATCAGAAAGCACATTTTATCCGGCAGGTGTATTTTGCAGGTTGCAGGTTGCAGGTTGAAATTTAATTATAACTGGAAAACCGCTGGTACAAAAAATAATTAATAACCTATATACTCGTCGGGGGTTCTTACATAAAGTAGTTCACCTCTTTCACACAGTGAAAACACAATCGATCCGCTATAAGTACTTATTGATCGACACACTGAGACCAGTGAAATCTCCTCAAAGCCATCTGGATGACCGCTCCACAGATGCTTCCATTGATTCCAGATTTGGCTCAGGTCTTCCCTCAACAACAGAAGATTGTCATCACAAATGAAGCAAATAAATAAAGAACTGAAATAATATAAGATTTTAACCGACAGAATATATACTAGCACAAGCTCAGTGTGCTTTCATTTTGGTACTCACAGGGAAGAAACCAAATTCAGCAGATATTTCAGATGATATTTCAGATGTTTCTTCAAAAACAATAATTCATTGCAGGCTTAAAATCATAGGAATATACTCTCCTCCCATCGCTTCGGCCGGTTTGACACTCAGGTGGAAGCCATCTTTCTGAGCGATTGTTAAGAGCGTTATGTAACAGTCATGGTAAGTCTACCACCTGTGCGTTTCTTTTAAGTGCCAGCGGTTTTCCAGTTATAATTAAATTTCAACCTGCAACCTGCAAAATATACCTGCTGCATTTTATCAGCTATAAATGCAAGTCATATAATACTCATGAATAACAATAATCAAACTACAACAAGATGTTAATACCAATTAACAGAAGATGTTTTTTAACATTAGCGGTCATGAGTACACAGCAATGCTGCTGCATAAGCTCAGGTGAAGAGCGTCTTATGCTAGTGTTGAGCTGTAACTTTTGATGTGGGGCATTTGCACTGTTCTCACGGCTCCACCGAGGGGACCAGCTACCCCACAGTTGGGCATTTTTCACCTTATGAAGAGAAAATGTCAAATGCCCATCCAATGCCAATGGGGGATGGGGCATGGGCAGGCTTGCAATTAACAGAGCCATTACTCTTCTAAGGAAACTGAGAACTAGTCCATATACGTGTATGTCTTCCTAAGAAAATGCCCCATAAAGGAATTTGAAGCTGCAGCCTCTCTGTTCAGAACATGCCAATCATAGGACCACTTGATTTGTAAACAATTATTTGAAAACTCCTTTCAAACATCCATGCCAAGTTCCTCCCCAAAGGCACTTGGGAGGCCAAGCTTGACCAAGCTCAAGAGAGAAGAAGAAATTGAGCCTGAGTCAAACTGTTCAAACCTCCTCGGTCCCTTCCCTCCTACCCCCCTACCCTGCCCTGTATCTTTATGCTGGGACTGATTCTAATGTCATGTGCAAGTCTGAAGCAGGCTGTGATTTGATTTAATAGCTTGTGAACTTGACAGAACACTTCACAAAGGTTGAGGAAGACATCACAAGTGTTATACCTGACACAGACTTCCAAGGCATTGGTGTGATTGACTGGGAATACTGGAAACCAGTGTTTGACAGGAACTGGGACACACTATCTATTTACAGGTTTGAAAAGCTGTTTGGCAAGTTGCACCATTCAATTTAAATACATGTAAGGTTAAGTCTGCATCAGGCCAAGTGGCCCTGATATTACAACCACAGCTTATCCTGCAGGTTTCTGTCATATGAACTGACTAAGAGTATATATATACTGTGAGAGTAAAGTGTCTTGCCCAAGGACACAATGACCTTGGGCAGGGCTCAAAACCTAGACTGCTGAATCTAGAGTCCAACGCACTAACCATGAGGCGACTGCTCCTCTACACTCAGTTTAAATGCCATCCCATTTTCTTTGTGTCCATTTCTTTTTCATGTTAAATGATGTGAGGGTTTGAGTGAGTTTTAACTGATAGCAACTGTTCAATGAGAAAGAAGGTGTTTGTTAACTAACAGCTGAGAAAAATTACAAAATTTACTAAATGGCCGAGAAATGGACTGAAATTTTAACTGACAGCTGACAAATAATTGACAAATTTGACTGATAACTGAGATCCAGACTCTCTGGTTCATGTTTACTTTAAGTTTGTAACATCCATTGATTAACAGAAAAAAATCTCACAGTGAACATACATGTACACTGCACATGTATGTGAAAAAGGCACGGAAGATAATTTTTCTATAGCCTTAGATTTGTTGCTTGTAGATTTTTTAGACCCTTAAGTTTTAATGGTCCCTGCCACAAATTGACAGAGATACATGTAGCTCTATTTATATACTTGGTGTAATTTTGGGTTGAGTGTATGACGTCATCAGTCCTCTCATTTGCATATTTTGTACATTTTGGAACTACTGCAGATATTTGTAAATGGTAAACAGCGTTTTTAATCTTTAGTGGGATGCGATGCACCTAAAAATTCAAGGGCTAAAAATTTGATCACAGTAGCACTTTAACAACATAATCTTCATCACTGTCAGATTGGTCATCCCTTTATTTTGTAGAAAAAAGTCCATGGATCTAGTCAGGCGGAGACATCCTTTCTGGTCGGACAGTTTAATTGAAGAAATAGCTAGATTGGAGTACGAAACTGCAGCCCAACAATTAATGGAAGGAACCGTGTTGCTGGTTCAGAAACTTCGTCCAAAGTCATCATGGGGATTTTATGGCTTTCCAAATTGTTATAACAACAAAGACACCGCGCCGTACAACTGTAGTAAACTGACAATCCAACAAAACGACCAAATATCTTGGATGTTTGAGTCGAGTTCAGCTCTGTTTCCGTCAATTTATCTGCATGATGCGAGGCACCAAAATTCCTCGTTGTTTGTGAAGTACAGGTTACTGGAAAGTTTCAGACGTGCTAAACAGCTAGATGGACATAGCATTCCTGTATACCCCTATGTTCGTATAACATATGCAGTCTCAAAGATATATCTCAATGAAGTAAGTTGGTAGACCTCGATTCTCAAATTCTAGAAAAAGTCAGAGACGTTAATTTTAAGTTCTCATTACAGTAGCGATACAAAGTCGTCAATGAAGGCACTGCTGTCTTGTTGTACAGAACAGTACAAAACAGATACTGTCCACGGCCTGGGGGGGGG